ATCCCCCCCACCTTCCTACCAGTCTCAATGCAGCTTCTTCTGTAATTCCTTAGTTATAAGACTTTTATTCAGCAAGTCTTCACTTGGATATTCAGATTGAATGTTCTATTTGTTTGTTGTAATTCAACTTTTGTCCTGGGAGGAGATAAGTGTAACACCCACCTACTCCACAGCCATGTTGGATTCTCTTTAAAATTTGGAATTTTTAATATTTAATCAGTTTAGTATTTTCTTTGATGTTTAAAAAGTATAAGTTGTAACATGATCTTCCCACACACTCTTCCAGTGTTCCCTATCACAGCAAATGAATAGTTATTATCTATCTACTTATGCAAGTTAGAAACTAGAAATCATTCATTCAATCTTCCAACAAATATTTATTGGGTGCCTGCCTTTGTTATGTGAACAAGTCAGACAAATTTTCTATCTCATAGACTTGCAGTGACAATGGGAGGAGACAGATAATGAACAAATAGAGTGGTCAGGGAATGTCTTTTCAGGTGAGCAGTATTTAATCTGAGAGCTGAATGAAAAGGAGACAGACATATGAAGATCTTGTGGAAGAGCTTTAGAAACTGAAGATATAGTAATTTCAAAGACCCCAAGTGGGAATAATATTGGTATTATTCAGAAAATGGAAAGGCCAAAGTGAATAGACAGCACCAAGAGGAAAATGACGAAATTGAAGAGGTAGATAGGGGCCAGATTACACAGGAATTTGTAAGCTAGGAGAGCAATTTTCAACCTTTCGTATCTCATGGCACACATAAACTAAAATTCTGTGGCATATAAAAATATTTTTTATGTCAATCAGACAAAAAAATAGGTATAATTTTGATTCATTTACACTGCACAGCTATTGTGTTGGCTATTGCCATTTTTCCTCTAAGGAAAAAGAGGTCAGTGACCCTAACTAAGTAGTCAGGTATTGCATGTTTTTAAAAATTCCTGTGGCACACCAGTGTGTTGTGGCACACCAGTTGAAAATTGCTGGGCTAGAAAATGTAGTTTTAATTTTATTATTTGTGCTATGAAGATTTAAGCAGGGGGATGACAAATCACCATCATCTTAATAGCTAACACTGAGAGCTTACTACAGAGCTAGACTTGTTCTAAGTGCTTTATATGTTATCTCATTTAGATTTCATAATAGGCTCATGAGGTAGCAGTAATATTATCCCCTTTTGAAGGATAATAATGTCACCTATGGGTAAATTAATTTTATAACACTTCTTAAAATTTTAGATATAATTCACAAACAAAACAGTGCATAGATTTTAAAGGTATTATGATGAATTTCAACAGACACATTTCCAGTCAAGTTCTAGAACTTTTCGATCAACCTGTAAAATTCTCTCATGCTCCTTCCCAGGCACTACTCCGCACCTCCTACCCAGGGGCAATCATTACTCTGACTTTCATCCTCACGGATTAATTTTGCCGGTTCTTGAACTTCATGTAAATGGAATCATATGAACTTTGTGCCTGCTTTTTTCACTTAACATATATTTGAGGCTCGTTTGTGCTGTATTTATCTGCAATTCATTCTTTTATTGATGACTAGTATCCCATTGTATGAATATGACTGATTTTGTTTATTCTTCTGTTAGTGGACATTTGGGTCATTTCAAGTTTTTAGCTTTTGGCAATAGGGATGCTGTGAACCTTATTGTATACATATTTTTGCTTACATGCTTTTACTTCTGTTGGGTAAATACCTAAGAATAAAATTGATGGACTGTATGATTAACTTTTTATAAGAAACAGTCAGTTTTCCAAAGTGGGTATATATTCTAACCGACAATGCATGAAAGTTTTGATTTATATTTTAAAAAGTTTTTTCTTGTCTGTGAAGCCTGAGTTTTAATGGAGCAAGCGTGAAAGCAAAGAGACAAGTTAGGAAGCTTTGTGTAGTCCAGGTGAGAGGTGATAGTGTCTTGGACTGATATGGAAGTAGAGGAGATGAAAATAAGGGTTGGATTCGGCATGTAGGTAAAGTTAGCAGGGCTCATTGATGGATGAGGTAAGGAAAGATAAGTGAATTGGCCAAATTAATGCTAACACCTACGCATGTATCATGAGTGACTGAGTAGTTGTTCATGCCATTTACTAAGACGAGGAGGTGATTACAGGAGAGAGCAAGCTGAGGAAATGGCGATAAACTAGGATGTGTTTTGGATGTACTTATCACAACCTACTAGACATCCAAGTAGACATTTCAAATAGACAGTTGAATATGACATGTATGAATTTCAGGAAAGAAGTCAGATTGAAGATTTAGGTTCTCTAAAGTCACAGAACTGGATGGGAATAATCAGGGGGTGATTTTTTAAAGAAAAGAAGCTAGGACTGTGCCCTTCAGCTCAGCAACACTTAGAAATATAGCAAAGAATAAGAAGAATCAATAACACCTGGGAAACATGTCAAGGAAGTCAAAATTATGACATTATGAAAATGTTTCAGGAAGAAGGCAACAACCAGCTATGTTCAAGGTGCTTAAGAAGTTGAGAAAAGTGAGGCTAGAGAAATAATTTTTGGATTTGGCAAGTTGAAAGTTATTGGTGACCTTAAAGAATTTTGATGGAACCCTGGTTGGGTATCTCAATTGCTTAAAGCATGGTCCCAAAACACCAAGGTTGCAGGTTTGATCCCCAGTCAGGGCGCAATAAAATTTTTTTAAAAGAATTTTGGTGGAGTGATGGGTTCAGAAGCTTACCTTTGAATTAAACACAAGAGGTGAGAAAATTGAGACAAGTATGGACATTTCTTTTAAGAAGCTCTGTGTGTGTGTGTGTGTGTGTGTGTGTGTGTGTGTGTGTGTGTGAAGAGGAGTTGATAAATGGGGCAGTAGCTGGAGGAGAATGTGGGGTCAAGGAAGAGGTTTTTTTTTCTCTTTCTCTAAAGATGAAAGACCTACCTGATATCCCCCATACTCTTTCCCATCCACACTAAACTTGAACCATCACCAAAATCTACTTAATTTACTTCATAAGTTGCTTGAATCTATCCATTTGTCCCCACTACCACTGCCACCACCTTATCCAAGTTATCATCATCTCCCACATAGACTACTGTAATAGGAGTTCTAACTGAACCCGTACCCTAACTGTCACCCTTGGACCCTAATCTCTCCTGCACACTTAAGCCAGACATTGTCCAAATACAAATCTGATCAAAAGATCCCATCCTTGAACCCCATCCCTACTATATTATAAAGGAATTCCCATTGTTTTTAGGATAAAGACAAAACCACATGACTTTTAAATCCCTAGATGGTCTTCCCATGCATATTCCCTGATTTCATCTACCACGTTCCCTCTTGCTTTCTGTGTTTCAACTGCACTTGTTCTAATCTGCCCACTAGATGTTTGGACTTGAGTTTCTCTCTGACTGGGATATTCTTACCCCCACATCTCTCCTCCATCACACTCTGTCTAATAACTACTACTTTTTCTTCAGTTGTTCAAGTCAATCATCCCTTCCTCAGAAAAGTCTTCCCTGACCTCTCTAACCACATTAATTCCTTTTGTTATATTGTACTTGCATAGTACTGAGTAGCTTTCCTTGATAACACTTTCCACACTTGTAATTTTTTATTTTCTTGTGATTATTTTATTGTCTGTCTTCCTTACTAGTTTTTAAGCTCCATGAGAGCAATGGCAGTTGAGGGTAGTGACTGTTTTTCTTTTCTTTTGCCAACATATATACAGCGCCCAGCACAATGCCTGACACATAGTGAGTACTAAAAAAATACTCATTAAGTAAATTAAATTCAATGAATGAATGAACCCTAATTGTTAATACCCCATTAAGTAACACAATATAGACTCTTTAATTAATTTGGATATTCTCTAGTATCTCTGGAAGAAGAAATGGCGGTTAACATTATTATTTAAGTCATTAAGTTGAGAATAACTGTTAGAAACTATATTCCCTGATATATAACTATCTTTGATCATCTGGGATTTTACTTACTGCTTTATTATTTTAAACTCTTTCTCTCAAAAATTACCTGTGGTTGTATGGGCAAATATCACAGATACTTTTCTTTTGTAAATCATTAATTTCAGTTCAGTTTCCTGCCACTTAACTTTGTCAGAGATATGATTAAACATAAAACTGATCATTGAATTTCATTTCACTTAATTTCCTCTGCCATTAAGGGCAATTTTATGAAGGAACTACTTAGCATTAAAGTCGATTAATTATCTCACAACCAGAAAAAAACTTTAAACTCATAGTTACACATGACTTCACTTATACATGGAATCTAAAGACAAAATAAAAAACAAAATAGAAACAGACTCAGAGAACAGACTAGTGGTTGACAAAGGGGAGGAAGGGTGAGGGCTGGGTGAACAAAGTGAAGGGATGAAGACATACAAATTGGTAGTTACAGAACAGTCACAAAGATATAAATTACAGCATAGAGAATATGGTCAATAATATTATAATAACTATTTATGGGGCCAATAATACTGTAATAACTATGTAGGTGGATACTTGAAATATTGGGGAAGCCATTCTGTAAAGTACATGACTTTCTAACCACTATGCTGTGCATCTAAAACCAATACAGAATAATATTGAATATAAACTGTAATTTAAGCATTTTTGAAAAAGATTTAAAAATTCATGGTTGATCTTAAAACTGTAAATATTAACCCTGCATAAGAAGTAGATTAATTTACATTCTACGAATAAAATAGGTACAATGAAATCTGTAACATATGAGAAGGCAATATATAAGTTTATTTGTGCTTTTAAAAATAAATATGGGTGGAGGGATTGAGCAAAAAAAACCGGACTCATGGACATAGACAACAGTGTGGTGACTGCAGGGGGAAGGGAGTATACAGGGGTTAAATGGCAGTAGAAAAAATTACAACAAAGTTTTTTTAAAAGAATAAATGTGTAGTAATATTTATTCTATTTTTTATACCCTCATGTATAACTAAAATAATTCATTTTAACAATATTCTATGTAAAATATTTTTCAGAGAAATATTTCAAAATTCTGAATTCAAAACAACTGATGAGAGATGCAGCCAAAGACCATCAGAGGCAAAGAATAAATCTCATTCTCAATGTGTTTTTATTTCTCGAAATTTTCATACAGGAACATTTCAATTAGAGGTACAGTGAAATTTTTTCAAATAATTTTTTTGATACCATGTCATCAGCATTGTCGTCTTTCAATTTTATCTACTGTTATTTTTTAAGATGAGGGACAATAATATGAGCTAAATTTAAATTACCCAAACTAGTTATGGTTTATATTATAGAACACTGAAAAAAAATGAAAATGTCTCCTATAGTTGCTTCAGTAAATCTCTAGCCTGAGAACCTATATTCTCCATATTGTTATGGTGAGGATAAAGGGCTAAGAAAAACAAAGCCAAATTGCCAGGCCTATCAGAGAGAAGAGATTTGGAGATAAAGAGGATACTCAGATAAGCCTACAATTGGCTGGAACCAACTAATAAAAATAAAGGTTTTATTAAGCCTTCATTATATCCCAAGCTCTGTACCTCCCCTTATTGAGGATAGTAAGATATGAATCCTGCATTCAAGGTGCTAGCTAGTGCAAGTGTGAAAGGCAGAAACTCAATTAACTCTGTGTTATGTAAGTGTCAAAATACTGCTAAGTGAGGGAGAGACCAGTAGAAACTTAAAAGTATGATATAGTTAAATAAAGCAAACAGTTTAGTGGTTTTATAACATTAATAGTGAAATAGCAACAAAATGATAATATGTCAAAGTTTCATTTTACATCTTGAATATTGAATTCAAGTTCAACTCAGTGTGTATTTGTTCATTTAACAAACATTTTTTGAGTGCCTTAAATATGGCAATACTAGTTTCGGCACTGAGTCTACATAAACAAATCAAGACATGAGTCCAGACCTAGATGATCCCAAAGTTAGTAGAACAGAAAAACATACAAACTAAAAATTATAATGTGATAAGAGCCACAAAAATAAAGAAATGCAGACAAGGAAGTATAAATTAAGAAAGGCTGCATGGAGAAGACATTTTTAGCTGGGTTTTGAAAAGTGAACAGAAGCTGTCCAGGAGAGAAAACAAAGAACAGTATGTTCAAAAGCTTGTAGCTATGAAAGAAGTAACATGTTCAGAAGAATGTTATAATGTGCAGGGATGCCCAACCTTTTGGCATCTCAGGGCCACATTGGAAGAAGAAGAGTTGTCTTGGGCTACACATTAAATATACAAACACTAATGAAAACTAATGAGCAAAAACAAAAGGTTTTAAGTAAATGTACAATTTTGTGTTGGGCCGCATTCATAGCCATCCTGGGCTGCATGTGACCCATAGGCAGCAGGTTGGACACCTGATTTATTTATTTAAAGACATTGAAAATTTTAATTTAAATTATTTTATTGTTGTTCAATTATAGTTGTCTGTATTTTCGCCCCACCCCTCCTCCCTCCCCCTCCAAACCCACCTCCCTCCCTTGCTTCCACCCTCCCCCTTGGTTTTGCCCATGTGTCCTTTATAGTAGTTCCTGAAAACCCTTCTTCCCACTGTCCCCTCCACGCTGCCCTCTGGACTATTATTAGATTGTTCTTAATTTCAATGACTCTGGCTATATTTTGTTTGCTTTTTTCCTTTGTTGATTATGTTCCAGTTAAAGGTGAGATCATATGGTATTTGTCCCTCACCACCTGGCTTATTTCACTTAGCATAATGGTCTCCAGTTCCATCCATGCTGTCACAAAGGGTTTAAGTTCCTCCTTTCTCTCTGCTGTGTAGAATTTCATTGTGTAAACGTACTATAGTTTTTTGATCCACTCATTTGCTGATGGGCACTTAGGTTGCTTCCAGCACTTGGATATTGTAAATCGTGCTGCTATGAACTTTGGAGTGCATAGGTTCTTTTGGATTGGTGTTTCAGGTCTCTTAGGGTATAATCGCAGGAGCAGAATTGCTGGATTAAAAGGCAGTTCCATTTTCAGTTTTCTGAGGAAATTCCATACTGTTTTTCACAGTGGCTGTACCAGTCTGCATTCCCACCAACAGTGCACTAGGGTTCCCTTTTCTCCCCATCCTCTCCAACATTTGTTCATTGATTTGTTTATGTTGGCCATGCTGACAGGTGTGAGGTTGTATCTCATTGCGGTTTTAATTTGCATCTCTCTAATTGTGATGCTAAGCATCTTTTCATGTGTCTCTGGGCCCTCTGTATGTCCTCCTTGGACAAGTTGGACACCTGATTTATAAAAGAGGCTAATGATCCTTGGGAAAAGATCCTGGAGATGACATTATGAGGAGCCTCATTTGCAGCTTAAGGATTTTGGATTTTACCCCATATACTACAAATCCACTGGCAGCATAGTGGAATTATGACCAAGAACATAGATTAAAGAGGTTAAAATCCTTGCTCTATCACTACTAGCTTTGTAATTTTAGGCAAGTTACTTGTCAGTGTCTCAATTTCTTCATTTGTAAAATGAGGATGGTTCATCTCCATAAAATTGTTATGGGAATTAAATGAATTAGCATATAAAAATCACTCAGAATAGTACCTAGCCATATAGTGAGCACCATACAAATATACTGCTCTTCCTGGAGGGCTTCAAGCAGGCAGGTTTAATGATCAAATCAGTTCTAAAGAATATTAAGGAAAGCTCTGACTTTCAAATGAAGGATATTTCGAAACAGAGATAGCATTGCAGATGCTATTTAATATTATGAATGCATTTAATATTAATTGAATTTACTGATACCCATCGCATGCTAGGAATTTTGCTAGGTACCATTGATACAATGGTATCTTCATATCCAATGCAGAATACAACAAAAATATCATGAGTGCCATGATGGAAGAAGTACAAGTAAAGGAGTACTAAATTTTAACTAGGTTGTTTATTATTTATTCATCACATATGAATAAGTGTTTATGTGCCAGGCACTGTTCCAGGCAACTGGAAATTTGCTCTCATGAGACTTATAGTCTAGAGGGAGACATAAATAATGTACAGGTAAACACAAATCATTCTTTGGGACTCTTGATAGTCAGCGAAAGGAACCTAATTCAGAAGAAAAGGGAAAACATAGTATAAAAGAATAATACAGTGTTGACCTCGGCCACAATCAGTTTCAGTATATACAGGACTCTCTTTCATATGGTCCCTCTTTTTCTCACCCCAATTTCTGCTCCTTTCTCTGTATTGGTGTCTTTCTTACTACAGAGACAAACAGGAGGATAAACATTTAAAATGTGGTTTAAATTAATGTAGAACTCTAGCTTAGTTTCTAAAAGAGCTTTATTGTGTAATGCAACCTACACAAAAAGAATACACACACAGTTTAAAGAACAATAAATGAAATTTTTATACCCACCACTCAGAATAAGGAATAGAATACTACCAATACCTTTCAGTCCTGAGTCTTTCTCTCTTAAATCCTGCACTCCCCTGCTTTACTGAAGCACCTACTATCCTGCAATTGCAATGAACTATTTACTTGCTTTTCATTATTTTACCACAAATGTTATAGATCTTTAAACAATGTATTATTAAATTTTATGTTTTGGGGCTCCTTGTATAATATACTTTTTCCTTTTCATGCAGTATTACATTTCTGAGACTCATCCTAGTTGGTCCATATATCCCTAGTTCAGTATTTTTACTGTTATATGGCATTCCATTATTGAAATATATCAAAATTTATGTTATGGATGTTGGGCCTTTTAAACAAAAAATTTTATTTATTTCTTTTCAGAGAGAAGGGAAGAGAGGGAGGAAGAGAGGGAGAGAAACATTGATTGGTTGCCTCTTACACACCTGCAACTGGGGACCTAACCTGCAACCCAGGCATAAGCCCTGATGGGAAAGCAAACCAGTGACCTTTCATTTTGCAGGATGGTGTTCAGTCCACTGAGCCACACCAACCAGGGCTGGGTTGGTTTTAGTTGTTTCCTTGTTTTTAGGAAATTTCAGTGGGAAATATATCTAATAGTAAACTGCTGACTTATGGGTATGTGCATGTTCAATATTATTAGATAACTTTAAACTGTTTCCCAAAGTAGCCGTATCAATACCCATTCCCCTAAGGCATGAGTAGGTGCTAGGATTGCTCTGCATCTTCAAAAGTTTTGATATTTTTAGGCTCCTACTTTTTTTGACAAGCTGATGGCTGAAATAGTATCTTACTATAGTGTTTTGTTAACAGAATTTATTTTTTGAGTTTTCGGTTCACAGTAAAACTAAGCAAAAAATAGAGTTCCCATTATCCCTTGCCCCACACCCTCCCCCATTATCAACATCCAGAGAGGCACATTTTTTATAATCTTTGAACTTGTATTGACACATCCTATCACCCAAAGTCCATAGTTTACATTAGAATTCACTCTCATGTTACACATTCTATGGGCTTTGGGAAAAATATGTTTATGTATCATATATGATATATTATATATGATATACTGGGTCCAGCACAAATAACTCCCCCCTTTTATTACAATATCTTTTATTGCAAAATCACAAGCATGTAATTCTGTAGCATAACAATATCATACTCAAGCATACCACATGACATTTTAGGTGAAATGTTCAAATTAAAACTACAAATTATTACACCCATATTATTACCCTACCAACCATACTCAAGCAAGTCTTACTTCTGCAGGACCCTGTATATTGTCAAAACCATAGAGGGGGTGGGGAAAGGGAGAGAGAGAAGAGGGGAGGATAAAGGAGGGGATGGGGAGAGATCCACCATTATAGTATCAACCAGAATAGTTTCACTACCCTAAAAATCTTGTTGTTCTTTGTCTGTTCATTCCTTCTTCCCTTCTAATCCTTGGCAAGAACTGATCAATTTCACTGTTTTCATAGTTTTACCTTTTTCAGAATTCCATATAGTTGGAGTCATATAATACGTAGCCCTTTTAGATTGGCTTCTTTCACTTAATAATATGCATTTAAGGTTCTCTCTGACTTTTCAAAACTTGATAGCATTTTTTTGTGTGCTGAATAATATTCCATTGTATGGATATACCACAGGTTGTTTATCTATTCCCTTGCTGAAGGACATCTTGGTTGCTTCCAAGTTTTGGCAGTTATGAATAAATCTGCTATAAACATTCATGTGCAGATTTTTGTGTACACAT